AGAGATGGTTCTGAGGGTCTGGGGACAGAAGAGAGTGGTGAGAGCATCCCATCCCCATCGAGCTGGGGATTGGAGGTGCTGGACAGACAAAGGTTGGAGGAAAAGCTTGTGGCCTGTGGACTTAGGATCAGGCCTGGCAAGAGGGACAGGTGCTCCATGGGCTTTCTGGGAATGCTCAGGACCCAGAGGGTGCAAACCCTTTGTTACTTGGTTCCATGGTAGGTGCATAAAAAGGACATGGAACTGTTGGAACAAGTCCAGAGGAGGCCACGAGGATGATCAGGGGACTGGAGCACCTCCTGAAGATCGGCTGAGAAAGTTGGGGCTGTTCAGCCTGGAAAAGGCTGTGTGGAGACCTCAGAGCAGCTTCCAGTATCTGAAGGGGGCCTATAGGGATGCTGGGGAGGGACTCTTCACTGGGGACTGTAGTGACAGGACAAGGGGTAATGGGTTAAAACTTAAACAGGGGAAGTTTAGATTGGATATAAGGAGGAAATTCTTTCCTGTTAGGGTGCTGAGGCACTGGGATGGGTTGCCCAGGGAGGCTGTGAATGCTCCATCCCTGGCAGTGTTCAAGGCCAGGTTGGACGAGGCCTTGGGTGATACGGTTTAGTGCAAGGTGTCCCTGCCCATGGCAGGGGGGTTGGAACTTGATGATCTTAAGGTCCTTTCCAACCCTAACTGTTCTATGATTCTGTGATTCTAATGGGAATGAGAAGCTTTCAGCTCTGTGCCCTCTGCCTCCCAAAGGAAGGACTCCAGGCAGCTGGATGGCTGTGATGGATCCAGCGCCAGAGCTGTCTGCCTGTTCAAGGCCAGGCTGGACTGGGCCTGGAGTAAGAGCTCTAGTGCAAGGTGTCCCTGCCCGTGGCAGGGGTTGGAACTGGATGAGCTGTAAGATCCCATCAACCCAAACCAGCCTGTAGTTCTATGAGACATGTTAATGGCAGGCAGCCAGTGCCCCATCCAGCTTCTCTCCCTGCTCTGGTTCCCAAGGAGCTCAGGGCTGAGGTCTCTGCCTCGTGGTTGGAGCCACACTTGCTGCTTGAGTCACACCTTTGCTCTGGTTCCTCTGCTGGGACATTGATGTGGGTTTGGGGAGGGCATCTTGCAGGGATAAATGTGTTTTGTCAAAGAAGAGCTGCCGCAGGAGCACAGGGAGCCTGTGGGCGCTCCTCAGCTTTGCCCAATGTCTGGTGCTCACTGTACTCAATGGGACATGGGGAATGAAGTGAAACCCGGTTTGATGTGCCCCGTCCATTGTGTTTACCATGCTGGGGCAGCAGCTCAGCCCCTGTGCTGAATGCTGTCCCCCTCCTGGCTCACATGGGGCCAGAGCCATCTGCACCAATGAGTCAGCAGGACCCACTTAACCCTTGTCCAGCAGGATCTCCTCCTCCTGACAGAATGGGCAGCTCCTGGCAAGCTCCGTCAGTGTCTTACAATCTCAGCTCATTAAAGGGATGCATCCTGAGCTCTTTATCGATGTTTTATGCTGCCTGGCTCCATCTTCAGAGAAACAACTCACACTGCAGTCAATGACTACACCTCCGCGGAGCTGCAGGCTGAGTGAGGAGCTCGGGATCTGGCTCAGGGCTGGGCTCAGCTCCCATTGCTGAAAGGCTGCAGGGCTGCAAACTGTGGTGTCCTACACCAAAGCAGCCAAGAGATACCCCGGGGCTGGGATCCCCTTTCCAGGCAAGGTTCAAAAGGAAAACACAAGGAAGGGGTGGCTTTTTTTTCCTCCGTGCTTGCTTACCCCTCTTTGCTGGGCAAAGGAATTGCCTGGCACAGAAGGGAAAGGATGTTTTCTTTCCCCTAGTGCTATTGCCTGTTCAGCTGGAACCCACTGGGGTGGATGTATCTGGCCTCCTCTGTACCTGGGATGTGCTGGGATTCGCACATCCCTCTACCTTGGGAGAATCACAGTCTTTATAAGCTCGCCAGTGCTTGCTGTTGCTTCTAAAAAGCTGGTGGCACTGTCTGGCTTCAAGTGGCTTTTACATCCTACAGACTGTCGGGCCAGATGAGCATCACGGTCCCCTCTGGCCCTCAAATCTGTGAATCTAAAAATTAGAGGGCACCAGCACCTCATTTCTTCTGGCTGATTGAATCTGGGGAACCACATCTTCTCTTTATCCTCTCCTTTTCTCTCTCCCCTCCCTGCATCATCTTTAACTGAAGGTGAATTCTCCTTCCCCTAGTGTCCAGGCCTGGCAAATAACATCGGAAGGAGCGGACATCTCCAGCCTCGCGCTGGGATATTCTCCTCCCCATTCGCAGTGCTTCACTGCTGGGATCAGGGGTGCTCGGGCCTGGAGATGGCTGGAAAACAGGGCTGAGCTCTCCTGATTGCTTTTCAAAGCGCAACGGAAGTTCTTCAGGCTCCAGAGTGAGCTCTTTTGGGTTTGTGAATGTGTGTGTGTATCTAGAGAAACACATGCTGAGAAGGGGACGGAAGGTGGTGACTCCCCAGATGGCTTCTGCAGTGTTGGGGGTGTGCAGGAGGAGAGGAAGGAGCAGGGCAGGGAGGAAGCGGTGGGGATTGCCAGGGATGAGGGTTCCCCAAGCCAGAGATCTGCAACAGGCAGATGGGAGATGTGCAACAGGAGCTGGGAACACCAGGATGCTCTGCCCTCCCAGTACCTGTATCTCAGTGCTATCAGCAGCCCCAGGCAGATGTGCTGACAGCTCCTAAAGTAAGGGCAGAGAGTGGGACTCCTGGGAGCTGCTATGGACGGGATGCCAGGGGTGCTTGAGGGGTTAAGAAGTGCTGGATTCACACTGGAAGGAGAAGCAGAACCAGTTCAAAAGGCCAGTCCAGAGGAGCTGGCTCAGGTCGAGGTGGCTGGGAAGGGGCAGAGGGCAGCCTCTGTAAGAGAAGCTTCCTGGCAGAGGTGAGCACCTCCAGAGAGGATGCTTTACCCCATAGCATGTGGACATCGCAGAGCCCAGGAGCCTCATTTCTATGTGGCCAAATGCACCAGAACAGAGGAACAACCCATTCCCTCCCCAGTGAACAGGAAAAGTGCCAGTGCAACCAAGAAACAGTGGCAGTGGATAGCAGCAGCAGATTCTGCTTTGAAAGGTAGAAGCACTGCAACAGGTTGCCCAAAGAAGTGGTAAAGGCTCTGTTCCTTCCTGTGAAAGAGACCAGGGATGGAAGGGACCTTAAAGCTTCTCCTGTTGCTACCCTCTGCCACGGGCAGGGACCCCTTCCCCTAGAGCAGCTTGCTCCAAGCCCCTGTGTCCAACTTGGCCTTGAACACTGCCAGGGATGGGGCAGCCACAGCTTCTCTGGGCACCCTGTGCCAGCGCCTCAGCACCCTCACAGGGAAGAGCTTCTGCCTAAGAGCTCAGCTCAATCTCCCTCAAAAGCCCTTCTGTGCTCATTCAGCTGAGATAACACCCGAGGTCCCTACAGAAACACCAGCTTTAACGGAACAAATATTCTGCAAATGTTCACTGTCTCACAGTTAGACTCCACCTGAGCTCTGTGGCTTCAGGAGAAGTCGAGGTGGGCCTCGTGTTACTTAGCAACTTTCAGAGGAGAGAGGGAGAGAGAAAGGGGGGTGTTGGGGAGGCAGAGAAATTGAGGCATCACCAGTCTGCCAATGGGGGTGTTTGGTGTGGAGAGAGCAGACTCTGGGGCTGAGACTGGCTGACAGTCTGGGTCTGAGATGCTGGGGGTGAGACTGTTGATGAGATTCTATTGCTAAGACTCTGGGCTTCAGACTGTGGAGCTGATACTGTCAGACTCTGACTGTGACTGAGACTGTGGGGCTCAGACTGGGAGGCTAAGATGCTGGCGCTGAGAGTCTGGAGCTGAGACTGTTGTTGCGACTATGACTAAGACTCTGGGATTCAGACTTTGGGGCTGAGACTGTAGCTGAGACTCTGTGGCGCAGGCTCTGTGGCTAAGACTGCAGGGCTCATACTCTGAGATGAGACTGGGGCTGAGACTCTGGGGTTGAGACTCTGTGCCTGGGAATTTAAGGTGGAAAAGCAAGGAGCAAGAGCAGCGCTGGTGGTATCGTTGCGGACCTCACAGCCTGCACAAGAGGCCTGGCTGCAGTTTTCTGTCCTGCCTCTTCAGCTGTGTTAGCAGAGGCCAAACATTTCATGCTCTGCTCACTGTGCTGCAGGATGGCCAGGAGCAGATGCTGGAATACGTATAGGCGTGTTGTGTAACCTAATGAATATGTATAATTTTAAATAATAAATGAGGGGAGAGATGAGATTGTGGCGGGCCTGCCTTTGGAGGAGCTATGCCCCGTGCGCCTCAGCTGAATAAAGCATACCTACTTTACAGCTGTAACAAGTTGTGGAGTCTCTCCGCTTATCAGATCTAAGTTAAGCTAAAGGTACTTTAGAAGGATGGTGTGAAACAATTTAATCATGTTTAGTGGGGCCACAGACTTGAACACTGTTATCTTTGACCTAAGTTAGGCTAAAAGTACTCTAACCCTGTGTTTTCCAGGCAGTAGCATTTCTTTATCAAGCCGGCCCTGCCCCACATCCCGCCTTTTGTTTTACCTTGACAAATTCTTTTGCTATGCAACTCCGTTTTGCTCAAGAGTTCTGCCCATTTCCAAGTAGTTGTCTAATCTTGTGTCTTTAGCGAGCTTTGTGAGCTCATACAGTTACATCCACACAGCAACACCTCTGATTTGCGAAAGCCAATACATTCATGTGTTTATCACATTTATAAGGCAAAAGTGAGGGAATACCCGCTTTTGCCCAAAGGGAGCTGAGCGAAGCCAAAGCCTCCCAGAGGGGACAGAGCTGACCGAAGGGACCCGAGTGGAGCTGAAGGGACCCAAAGAGGGTGGAGCCGACCAAACTGGCCTGAGCGGAGCAGAAGTCACCCAAAGAGGGGGCAGCTGCCTTAAGGGACCCGAGCGGCCACGATCCCCCACATGCACACACACATGTGCTGCACGCGTGTTCTCACACGCAGGCACATACGTGTGCAAGCACACACACTTGGCAGCAGAGCTTCAACTGCTCCGGCTGTTAATGGCCCTCCCAGTGCTACACCACCTGTGTGCACACACACAGAGGCATGCGTGCGTCTGTCAACTCACAGGACACGGGGAGAACGAGCAACCCAACACTTTTATTGGTGGCTTCAAAGAACTTCTGTCCTGCTCCATGGATAAGGACCATCACGATGGGGCTTGGGGCACTTTTGAGGGAAGCAAAAGCTCATTTTCCTCTGATGACACCGCACTGGGAACGACTGACCAGGTTCTGGGATCGCTGAAGTGACAGCAAGGACATAACAGCAATGTCACAAAATTCACTGGGTAGGGAGTTGGAACTGAGTGAGCTTTAAGCTCCCTCCCAACCCAAACCACTCGGTGAGTCTGTGCTTCTGTGAACATCAAGGAAATAAGAGCTGGGAAATAACAGCCAAGAAAATAACAGCAAGGAAAGAGCATCTAAGGATATAGCCAAGGAAGCAACATCAAGGAAACCCTCAGCAGTTCCTACATGGAACAAGAGCTGAACTCGGCACCAGCATTGTCACCATCACATTTACCTTATGTCAAAGAGCACCTTCTCCGAAGCTGACTCCTGAGGATCGAGCTGAGCCAGGGACGCCTTCTGCAGGGCAGGGATTGGAGAGGTGAGAAGCAGGGCTGAGGCAGGGACGGGGTAGAGGGATAGAACTGGCGCCTGCTCCTGCCCTTACCTTCTTGTCCCTCTTAGTGGCTTTTCTTCTGCGCCACCACTTGCGCCGCAGCTTCTGAAAGCACCTGGAAACAGGCAGGAGCAGAAGGATGAGAAGCAAAGGATGAACTCCTCCAGTGCTGGAGGAGTTCTGGGGGCTCTGGACAGGGCTGGGTGCTGCTGGAGCAGAGCCTGCTGGGGCAGGGCAGGGCAGGAATTACCGCTTCAGGCGCCGTCTCCTGCTGCCTTGGGAATCCTCGTCATCTTCCTCGGCAGAGACCTAGTGACAGAGAGACAGAGACTCGGAACATGGAGGTTTCCACATGGAATTCTGCAGCATGGGGGAGCCGGAAGGTTCTTCCTCCAGCCCAGTGCCTTCTACACACGTGCAAGGCTGTGCCAGCAGCCACGCCTTTAAGAAGAGCCCTCCATGCCTCCCTGCCCAGCTCCCCACTGCTCCCTGCCTCTGGAATGACCCAGAGTTCTCCTCAGCCTTGTTAATTTCTACCTTTCTCCTCTGCACAGAGCTCTGCAGGCTCCCCCCCGCGCCTGCAACACGCAGCATGCCTTCTAAAGACATGAAAGCTCATTTGTCTCTTTGGAGGAGAAGGGCCCCAAAGGGAGGTTCAAACTCCACAGCAACGATCGGGCCCCCGCCCTGTGCCCAGGCACGGCCCCGACACACCGGAGCCGCAGCACCATGCAGAAAGGCTGGGTATGGGCTCAGGGCAGGGAGCAGGGGCATTGCTGCATGGCTGGAAGCAACGGGTGCTGCAACAGAGCAGGGCCAGGACAGGAGCTGGGGAGGGGATGCTTGGGGTGAGGGATTGCAGGCTAGAGCCTGGTAAGGGCTGATGGCAGAGGCTGTGATGAGAGGGAGCTGCAGCCCCCCTGAAGGAAGGAGCTACTGGGAAGATGCCCAGCAGAGCTGGGGACAGACCCTGGCAGGAGCCAGGACAAGCTGCTCCCAGCAGCTCTGAACACCTTCAGGCTCCAGGGTGGGGTACCACAATGAGCTCCAAGTCTGGGAAAACATCTCTTGTGCTCGCCAGCACATCCACAGGTATCTGCAGCAGCACCCGGGCCCCATGAGCACTGTGGGAGCACCCCCCTGCCCCTGTGCTCTCCAGCCCCAGGGTTTGGCTGGCAGCGCTCTGCCAAACGAGTCCTTGGCTCACCTTGAAAGAGCGCTGCACCAGGAGAGCAAGGGACAGGATGAGGTTCACCAGAGCAAACAGCGAGAACGGCAGCACCAGCCACAGCCAGCGAACAGAGGTGTGATTGGCCATCTCCTAGGAGAAAAGAAGAGTGCATCAGGGAGGAGAGGAGCGGGGAAGGGAGGACAGGGGAGGGGAGGAGGAAAGGGAGGCCCCTTCCATACCCCACTGCCCAGACACACACACGCAGCCATGCCCCGCTCTCTCCTACCGTCTCTGCAGATTCACTGTCCATCCTCCTGGGCTGGACTTGGGCATGGGGACGAGAGGTGCCGGCATCCTCCTCCCGCACACACTGCTCAAGGAGGTCAGAGGGCTCCGGGCCACGCTGCCTCTCACTCAGCAGCTTCAGGAGCAGCCCCGTCCTCGAGACCATCTTGGCGCAGGCCTGCTGGAGCTGGGGCAGGCCACAGTCCCCCCGCAGGGCTCGAGCCTCCTGTGCCATGAACCTGCGCAGGGCTCCATCTGGCACCAGAGAGTGGAGGTGGCGGCTGAGCAGGGTGTCAAAGGGGGGTCCTCGCTTGGCTGCTCTGCCCGGGGCGCTGGAGCTGCCCTGTGCAGTTGGAGTCGGGGGTTCCTGCTCCTTGTGCTGCCCGGGTGTGGTGGTGCTTGCAGGGGCGGTGGGTGGTCTCCCGCCTACAGAGGAGTGCTCTGCTGCAGCTGTGTCCTTTGGTGTGCTGCTGGCAGCAGGGGGGCCGTTTTTAGCCAGCAGAGCATAGAAATACTGGATAATGCTCAGTCTCTGCTCTGCTCTACCCTCTGCTGCTGCGGGCTCTTCTGCAGCCCTGCTGCCCACTGTCCCATCAGTGTCCTGCTGCTTCTGCTCCTCATCTGTCCCAGCAGAGTCCTGTGTTGGGGATGGTGCCTCCTCCTCATCTTCTGCACTATCCTCATTCTCCATCCTGTCAGTCGTGTTGGTCTGCTCCATGGTGTCAGAATGATCCTGACTCTCGCCAGACCGGGTGAGATGCGAGGCCTCTGTTGGGTATTGTGTAGGGGGCTGTGCTGCAGCAGGGGTGGGTGTTCTCTGGTGGCTGGAGACTGGGAGGATGTCACTGAGGTTCATACTCCGCACTGCTTCCCATAAGACGGACTCTGACAGGGTCAAACCTAAGCCAGGCTCCTGTTGATGCCAGCTTATGGCTCTTCCTCCCTCCCCTACTGCCACCTCCTGCCCCTTGTCCCTCTGCGCTGGCCAGGCTGTGCTGGGGCTTTTCACAGTCAGGATGCTCATGGCCTTGTGCAGCTTGTTCTTCAGCTGTGCCACGAGCTCCTCTGCTAGAAAATAGAACCTCCTGGTGTCAGTGGAGCTGCTCCAGCCCCTGTGATGAATGCTCTGCAGCATCAGCATCAGCTCCTTGGTGGTGTTGCCCTCCTGCCTCAACAGCTGCTGAGAGGAAGGTGCTGATGCATCGGGGCTGCTCAGGCTCAGGAGAACTGAGAGCGTGACGGTTCTCTGCTCCCTAAGGGAAGGCTCCTTAGGCTGGAGATTCAACACAGAGCTGCTGTTCCCTTTCCTGGGTGGCACCGGTCCCTTCAGGAGCTCTGGTGTCTCTGCCAGGGGAGCTGTAACACACCAAGAGCACATCAGTGACAAGAAGCTTTCTGCCAGACACAGGCTCAGAAGGTTCACTATAGCTGGGGCACATGGGCAGGGCTGTGGGCCAGTTACCGCAGCGGGGAGCAGTGCTGCTGCACACGCTCATGCAGTCGAAGCTGAGGGTCCTGCACGGGGTCTCGGTGCTGTGCTTGTGCTGGCAGAGGCAGCAGGCCGTGTCGATGGACAGCTTGCTAAAGAACAGAGGTTGTGCACAGTCAGCATCGCGACCCAGGGCAGCGACTCCAACCCAGAAGCGCATCAGGGGTCTGCTTCAGTCTCTGCTGCAGCTCTGGGAAACTGCCCCTCACTCCCTGTGTCCCAATGGACAGTTTTGTGGTGCTGGGTTTGTTCCCCACGCAGACCCTTTGTCCCAGCAGCTGGGATCTGCTGGAGGTGGGAGCCATCCCCTGCACACTCACAGCGTTTCCAAGTGGGACGTTCTCAGGAGCAGCATGAGCAGCGTCTGGCGAGTCACTCGTGTGGCACCCAGGTCCCTGCAAGGGTTTCAAGAAACACATTACATTTGAGGTGGCGGCACCAGTCTTTGCTCCGCGAACAAGCCCAGTCCCTGCTGCTTGCTGTGCTGGCCGCAGGGGGATCTGCTGCTACCTAATCCAGGAGAAATGACAGCAAACCGTCTCTCCTTGCTGTTGTGTCCTGCTCCCACCCATGGGTCTGAACCAGAAGGGATCCTGCAGATCCCATGGGAGATGGATGCAGAAAAGTTCAAGTCCATGTCCCAGCTCCGTGCTGGCTTTGCAGCTGGGACACACCAGAACTGCTCAGCCTTTGCCTGGCTCTGCCGCTGCCTCCAGCAGGAGAAGGGTGGGATTTGCTGCTGGATCTCTGCTTTCCTGGCCACGGGGCACCCAGAGGCACAAAGAAAGATCCATGGTAAGCTGTTAACAAGGAGCCCATACTTACAGGTGAGTGACTGAAGGCAGCTTGAAGAACCACGTGTCCTCGATAACAGACAGGGGGTTATGGCTCAGGACCCTGAAATGAACCAACACCCCGTTTGAGTGGGGGGTGCAGGATGAGAGCAGTGGCAGGGGCTCAGTGCTTCGTGCGTGAGGAAGGGCCTGGGGTGAAGGTTCCAGGCCGGGGCAGATGCTGATGGGCAGATTCACAACATACATCAGGTCCTGACTATCTCCAGCCCAGACAGCAAAAGTCCAGAAGTGCTGCTTCTGGAAAACACATCCCTTTCTTTCCTCCTCAGCTCGCACCTTCTGGTGGCTTCCCTCCAACAGGGCTTTCCCTATTTCTCACATTCCCACTGTCCATGAGCGTTGTCGCTGGTCCTGCACCCATCCAGGCAAAGCCGTGGCCTGACAGAGTTGTCATTCATCATTGATGCTGCTGCCTATTTGGGGTAAGAGGTGAGCAGAACACAGTGACAAGGGCCACTGCTCTGAGCTCCCCTTAGCCCTTGGAACACTCACAGTGTCTGGAGGAACTGCATCCCGTGCCATGCCCGGAAGGTGTCGCTCCGGATCTCGGTGATGAGATTTCCCTCCAGGCTTCTGGGGAAACAGGAGAGCACAGAAATGAATTGGGTCTGACCCACAGGAAGCTGGAGTGAAGCAGCTCTGATCTGTAGGAAACAGCCACATCCATGGTGGAACTGGGAGGAAACTGCCATTTTCTCTCCTGCTGCTTGTTAACCTGTCCAGGAGAGGAGACGAAGTGCATGCGTGCTGCATCTCTGCCTGCTCCAGGACACAGCAAGACTCAAGACGCAGCTTCTATTCCTGCTGTGTTTGCAGAAGCCGTGGCCCCATCCTGATGTGGCCACCAGCCATGCCCTGAGCTCCAGAGCTGGCCTGCTACTTCAGCAGGAGAAACCAGAGGCCTTGTTCTAAAAATAACAGGTGCTTTTTGTAGCACCAGAAGGTTCTAAATGCAAACAGGCTTCACTAACCACACCAGGAAGGAACTCCCATAACTCACATGGTCTCCAGGAAAGGAAGGTTCTCAAAAGCACACGCCTCGATCAGCTGGATTTTGTTGTAAGATAAATCCCTGTTAACAGGAGAACACAAAACGCTGGTGACATTTGCGCTGTCCTGGTTCCTCTCAGGGGCTCTGACATTGGCAGCACAGACGTGCCATAGCCCTCACTTCACGTGGGGTTTCTCTCTGGCACTGACTTGCAGTGGTGTGTAACCAGAGGTCACGCTCCTGACGGGGGTGACTGCACCTCAGAGAGGTTCTCCCAGCTCTGATCCCAGCAGGGGTATTTCAGGGCTGATTTTCATCTCTGGTAAAAGCAGGTTCTTTATGCACGCCCCAAGCACCTCTTGTGTGAGGCCTCAGGGACAGGCTGTAACGCCCTGTGTGACCAACATGGGGCTATTTCCCCTAGCTCCTAAACGTCACCTCCCTGCACAGCCCTGCTCTGCTGTGCGCAGGAGTCCTCTGGCCTGGCTCTAGAAACCAAAAGGTTCCTTGTTCCAGCCTGAACTCGCTGCCTGGGCTTGTTCTGCAGCAAACAAGGAGAGAGGAACCTTTGTGGGGAGCGTTTCATGGCCTGCTCAGCCAGAGCCCCCAGCCCCATCATGTGGGTGAATGGGAAGTGCCTGCTCCTCTCCATGGGCAATGAAGCTGCACCATGAGCTCCCTCCAAGGCAGCTCTGGGGCATCTGAGCTGAGAGGAGACAAATGCACAAGGTTTGGCCTCGTGCAGGTCTGTGCAGGGAAAGGGCAGCAGCCGCCTGCTCCTGCTTGGCCGTGGGGCAATGGGAGCGCAGCGCATCCCTGCGGAGCCCTCCCCTGCACCAAGACCCTGCTCTGCTCTGGCTGCAGCCGCAATACCGCCCGCAGGAATAAAGCCCTTCCTGGGGCGGGCAGGGCCAGGGCAGGGGGAGGCCGTGCTCACCACCATGGGCAGGGGGATACTTACAGGTGCCTCAGCAGGAGCAGCCCCTCCAGCGAGCGCCTCTTCACTGCCCGCAGGTTGTTGTGCTGGAGGACTCTGCAAGAGACGGACGAACACAAGCAGTGGCACCCGCGGCTCTCAGGGGCAATGGAGCTGTCAGGGGAACAACCCTGCAGCAGCGCCACCGCAGCCTCTCTGCGGGTCCTGCCACGGCTCATCACACTCACGGCAGGAGCAGGGGCTTGCTCCCAGCCTGCTGACCCTGCCTGCAGCCCGAGCACGGGTTCCACAGGCCCAGGGATGGCCCCGGAGGGCAGGAGGTACCCAGCCCAGGGCACTGCTCGCCATGGAACAGCTCTGGGGATTCACACCCCTCCTTGCTGAGCAGCTCGGCCTTGGCTGCACGTGGCAAGCACTGGTGCGGTGCTCGGCACAACCTTGGCTCAGCAGCCCGGTGGAGGGATGGGGATCCTGGAACCCCTGTGCCATGTCTGACGCTGGTGGATACTCACAGCTTCTCAGCCCACGGGTATCCCTTCCACGCCTGCGGGGGGATGAGGGCGAGCGCGTTCCCAGTGAAATCCCTGCAGAGAAGCCATTGGCAGCGTCACCCCCAGCACAAACCCTTCCCCTGCCCCAGGCTGTGGCCTGGAGCTGCCCCCTCGGCGCTGCCCCTCAGCCCCCCACAGGCAGCGGGGGGCCCTGGAGCCACTCTCGGGGTGTCCCGGGGCAGCGCCCGGAGCTGCAGGGCACTCACAGCACAGAGAAGGGCCGTTGGTGGGTGGCCGGGGGCACGCGGGCCAGGGCAGCGCTGCTGCAGTCCAGGCGGCGCCCGCGGCAGCGGCAGGGCCCCGGGCAGGGCCTCAGGGGCCGGGCCAGGCCGGGGGCCAGGCCCAGCAGCAGCAGCAACAGCAGCAGCGGTGCCATGGCGACACAGGGCCTGTGTCCTGGATCCAGGGCCTGGATCCAAGGCTGGGGATCCAAACCAGGAGCTCTCATCTGTGACCAGCAGCAGACCTGGGGCTGTGCTGGCCCTGTGGGCAGACACAGCCTGGGACACCTCACACCTCACAATGGGGCCTGGCCCAATGCAAGAGTTGCATCAGCCAGGCCTGTGAGGTGCATCCCCATTGTGACATGGGACAATCCCTGCCACTGGAGCTGGGGCGTGTTACAGACCAGCACCTCTACACATGCAGCACATGTGTGTTCAGTGCGGTCTGTGTGCGTCTGCCACATGTGTGTGCATGCATGTGTGCGTGTGCCTGAGTGCTGCCCTGTGTGGGTACGCCTGTGTAAACGTGTGTACCTGTGTGCGGAAAGCTTCAGCCTGATGTGTTGGCTTGGAAACAGCAGTGTCACTTCCAAGGGACACTTGGCAGTGTTGATGTCACACCCAAACCCTGCGGTGAGCTGCTGGCCAATCTCCTTCTCCATTTGGATGGCAAAGGCTTCCAAGCCAAGGGAGTAAACTCCTTCCCCAACCTCGCACACCCTCAGAAAGCGGCAGGGTGCCAGAGCACCTCTTGGACCCTATTCAGCACCAGAACACACTGTATTTGAGCCGGGATGCAGCCGTGCACCCAGCATCTCACTGACACCCCCGTGCTTTGCTCATAGGGCCTCCAGGCACAGCTTGGTTTTGCTCTGAAGAACAGGGCAAGACTCCAAAAGGCACAAGTCCGTGAATGAACAACACAACAGTTTTATTGGTCTATAATGTCTAAGCTAAACGTAATGTCTAATCTAAATAAATCTCAAGTCGAATCTTTAGTCTCTAAACCTAAAATTGGATCTAAACCTAATGTCTAATCTAAACCTAAAGCTGAGTCTTCATATCTAATGTAAACCTGAAGTCAAATCTTCTTCATGTCTAATCTGAACCTAATGTCTAATTAAATCTGATGTCGAATCTTTTGTGTTTAATCTAAACCTAATGTTGAATCTTCTTCTTGTCTAATCTGAAGCCTGTGTCCAATCTAAACCTAATCTCGGCTCTTCTTTGTGTCTAATCTAAACCTAAAGTTGAATCTAAACCTGTCAAATCTAAACAGGTTAAAAGGAATGAATCATGTTTAAACTACTCCCCCTTATCCTATCATTAGAGGCCACTGTATAAAGTCCCTCTTCAGATCTCTTCAGGTGCTGGGAGCGGCTCTAAGGTCTCTCTGGAGCCTTCTCTTCTCCAGGATGGAGCATTTGGTCTTGTTGAACTCCATGATGTTTGCCATCGGGTGTCATGAGCAGTGAGGGGCCTGCAACATCCTACTTCGTGGGGAGGGACCATGGGGCTGGGGCTGAGCGCTCTCTGAAGGCAAGGGAAATCGGCTCGTCCCAAAATGATGTGTCCTCACTGGAAAAGCTTGACTGGGATCTGGCATCACTGAAATGACAGCAGGGACAAAACAGCAACAACATAACAGCCATTGGGGAGGGGGTTGGAACTGCATGAACTGAACGTGGGGCCTTCACCGCCTCCTTCACACTTACCATTGGTTGACGACCACCTTGTACAAGCCTGAGTCCTCGCCAGCCGTGGACTGAGCCAGGGCCACCTCCTGCGGGGCAGGGACAGGAGCGGTGGGAAGCAGGCACGGGGCAGGAGCAGGCAGGGAGGCGGAGCTGTTGCTTGCTCCTGCCCGTACCTCATCTTCATCCCTGTCTGTGTCCTTGCTCCTGCTGCACCACTTGGGCCAGACTCAGGGGCTAAGACTCGGAGGCTGAGACTGGCTGAAATGGTGGCTGAGACTCTGGGCCTCAGACTTTGGAGCTGATACTCTCAGACTCTGAGGCTGATACTGTTGCTGAGACTCTATAGCTAAAACTCTGGGATTCAGACTTTAGGGCTGAGACTGTGGCTCACACTCTGTGGCTCTGACTCTGGGTCTCAGACTTTGAATTTCAGCCTCTGTGACCGAGACTGTGATTTAGACTCTGTGGCTGAGACTCTGGTGCTCAGGTTTTGGAGCTGAGACTCTCAGACCCTATGGCTGACTGTTGCTGAGGCTGTGGGGCTGAGTCTCTGGGGCTGAGACTGTGGGGGTGAGACTCTGGTGCTCCGGTTTTGGAGCTGAGACTCTGGCTGATACTCTCAGACACAGACTCGGGTGCTGAGATTCTTGGGGCTGAAACTCTGGGCCTCAGACTTTGGAGCTGATGCCCTGTCCTGGGTTCAGCAGTAGCAGTCACTTTTTCTCCTTAGTAGCTGGTGCAGCACTGTGGTTTTGACTTTCAGCCTGGGAACAGCGATGCAAAGATTTAACCAGTGTACGGGAGGGGGTACGGCTAAGCTGCTTGCTTAACAATGTTATTGCTTGCCCATACTCAACAAACATTTCTCATGCTCATTATGCTGTGCTAGAGCAGGATGGGAGGACAAGGCTACTGATAAGAGGGAGGAAGAGTCACCTGGCTCCTGCTTTCTGGGCCCTGAAACCACCTAGAACCAGCTTTGTGGTTTGGACTGTGAGGATGGAGGCACGGACCCAGAGGTAGAGTGCAAGGTGGATCGTTTGTTGCAAAGATTACAGGGTATTTATACATTTCCAAGCTATTAGCAAGCACATCTGTGTTTGCCTTGTGCTTACATCAGGTGAAAGGTCTATTAGATTTTCTTATTGACACCCTTTCCAGTTCTGAGGTCCTTGTTCCCTGCCAGTTCCAATGTATTCCAAGTGCCAGTCAGGGATGGGTCACTCTTAATTGCCTGCTGTAGTTCCTCCTTCCTATGGTTACTCTTAATTGCCTGCTGTAGTTTCTCCTTCCCATGCTCTCTGACAGTTTCGATACATTCCAACCCCCAAGTTCCCCCTTCTTGTTTTTGCAATGCAGTATACACGTGTTTTTCAAAAGCTTGGGATAACATTCGCTGCATGCATTGTAATAAGCAAGGTGCAACGCATATGATGGTGAAGAGAGCAAGCAAAAAGACCAATCCTCAACCAAAGTTAACAGCCACCCAGTTATACCTCTATGCAACACATTTCTTCCAAAGTTTCACACCCATGTCCATGTGTTAAGAGGAGAAAATTGATTGCTGCTCTATTTTGTAAAGTCGCATGTCTTATAGAATCAACACCAGTGAGCAATGCAGAGAGAGGGGATGCTGTAGCGTTAGTTCGCTTAGCTTCAAAAGCCAGGTGACGTGGGAGCCACCGCATAGAATCATAGAACAGTTAGGGTTGGAAAGGACCTTAAGATCATCAAGTTCCAACCCCCCTGCCATGGGCAGGGACACCTTGCACTAAACCGTATCACCCAAGGCCTCGTCCAACCTGGCCTTGAACACTGCCAGGGATGAAGCATTCACAGCCTCCCTGGGCAGCCTAATCCAGTGCCTCAGCACCCTAACAGGAAAGAATTTCCTCCTTATATCCAATCTAAACTTCCCCTGTTTAAGTTTTAACCCATTACCCCTTGTCCTGACACTACAGTCCCCAGTGAAGAGTCCCTCCCCAGCATCCCTATAGGCCCCCTTCAGATACTGGAAGCTGCTCTGAGGTCTCCACACAGCCTTTTCCAGGCTGAACAGCCCCAACTTTCTCAGCCGATCTTCAGGAGGTGCTCCAGTCCCCTGATCATCCTCGTGGCCCTTCTCTGCACTTGTTCCAACAGTTCCATGTCCTTTTTATGCACCTACCATGGAACCAAGTAACAAAGGGTTTGCACCCTCTGGATCCTGAGCATTCCAAGAAAGCCCGTGGAGCACCTGTCCTTCTTGCCAGGCCTGATCCTAAGTCCACAGGCCACAAGCTTTTCATCCAACCTGTGTCCGTCCAGCACCTCCAATCTTCAGCTCGATGGGGATGGGATGCTCTCACCACTCTCTTCTGTCCCCAGACCCTCAGAACCATCTCTCTCCCTGGCTTCCATACTCCATGCTCCCTGGGATGCTTCTCCACCACCCTGATCTTTCCTGGGGGCAGTCACCAACTGCTGCTCCAGGTCTTCCTTGGGCTTCCCAGAGGTCCCAGCCTGAGCTCCACCACGTGTTGTCCTGCTCAGCTCCTCACAGTCCAGCCAGTCCATGCCCCCAGCAACAAATGTACCTGACCCGAGCATCCTCTCTTGCCTGGGTACCACCTTCCCGCCCCCCCCCGAGCCCTCTCATGTGCACTGAGCATCACACATTCCCTGGGGATGGAGGTGGCGGATGGGGAGGGGTCAGCTCCCCCCATGGGCACTCTGGGTTCCCATTTCAGTGTCACTTTCACTGGAGTGTGTGTGCAGGGCTGGAAGGCTCCGTATTAAATTGCCAATCTGACCGCGTGCTGCCGGGAGGCGGCCGTAGCTGAGCAGCACCACCCCGCAGCCACTTGTGGGCTGGGGACTCCTCTGCTGGCTGCTCCTTGGAGTGCCCCAAGAGGAAGCAGCAACCAGCCACAGCACCCCAGGAAGGGTGAGGGGCAGAGCCAGCTCTGCGCAGCCCCCCCCCGGCACCACCCCACTAAAGGCTTTGGTACTCGATGCCCAGCTGGGGGGGTCACAGCACGAAGCTGTCCCGTCTGCAGATGCCCCCAGCACTTGAGAGTGTGCAAGGCTGTTATAAAAATCCCATCCTGGCCAAGATATGATTTAATTAATTATTTATTACAATTGATTAATATGGAGAGGCAATGAGCAAGCAGCGCTGGGTGCCCCGGGGAGTCTCTGCTCCACCCAAGACGCACACCGAGAGTTCTGGGGTACAGTCTCTTATACTCCTTGGTCTTGAGTTTCAACCAATCCTGTCGTCTCCTTCACCCCAATATCGACGTGGTTCCTTGTCATTGTTCTCCTCCTGTTGCTGGGGTCTTACCTTTCGGTGATGAAACTTCTTAAAAAGTTACTGAATTCCTTGGCAATACATTAACAGGGGATGTCTGTCACAAGCTTAACCACCATCTTAGCCCCCTCAATTCCATTGCTTATATAGGTACTTATTCAATACAC